ATTGAGAATAAATTTTATATTGATAGAAAGAGGGACCTTGTATGTGCTGATATAGAATTAAACTACTCTCTATACTGCCAATTAGTTTTATAGTGAAGCCTCAACTTTTTTCAATGTATACGTTGAGCTTTGATTCTTGTAACATTGAATAAATGTGGCCAACTATTTAAGAATCAAACTCATGAGATTTCTCGATAATTAAACTCACTTTTATTGTATTCAAATTTTCCACCTATTGCACGAGTTTGATTTAAATTTTTGAAATCCCTAAACTACTCACAATCGCGTAATAATCAAAGTAGAGATTAAAGCTTTGTTTAGTTTGTTGGACGGGATTGAAATTGATAACTCTCTACTTTCAAGGTATGTTGAGGGGAGAAATGAAAAAAATTAAGTCCAATTAAGCGGCAACGGATGGATGAGTTTTCTTCATGTCTAATCCAATCTTCTCAAAAATTAGAGGATCTAAAGGGGTGAGTTTTCTTCACATCTAATCCTCTTCTATTACCGTCCATATGAAGAGAAAAAAATTCACTTTTATTTTCAATACACCTTGAAATTAGAGAGTTGTCAATTTCGATTCAATTCGACGTACCAAACTAGCCCATGTATAGTTTTGTTAATAACACATTTGGTTCGTGCAAATGAGCAACATAATTGAAGTTGAACTTTTTTTGGTCCCATTTAAAATGCATTGGGCCTAATCCTGTCCATCTCAATAGTTGCCGGTTTGGACTTTCTAAAGACTATATTTGGTTCAACTTTTGGGTCCCCATTTCCACAAAGTCAATTTTCAGGCCAACCCATAATTGCACATTAAATCCTGCCCTTAATCCAAAAATTGCAATTAGTTTAAACTAAACAACCCCACATTATTTGAGTTTTAAACCAAACTTAATAGGTTGCCCAGACTTTTCATTCTAGAAGGGAAAATAGACGTTTCACACACAAATTATTTTATTTTTTAGGGTTTTAATTAATTTTGTAATGTAATTGAAATGTCTAATTAAACCTTCCGAATGAAAAACAAAAAAAAAAAAAAAAAAAAAAAAAAAAAAACAATGCAATATTTTTTAGATTTTTTTTATTAGCACCCCACATATTGTTAAATGCACCTCACAAAAAATTCAATATTAAATTACTTATTTATTCTACTATGCAATAACAATTTCAACCTTACTAAGTTTTAAAAAAAAAATATTCTAAATACACCCCACATCACTTTTAACATATTATTTATCTTCTTCAATTATCAAAACCCTCCCACCTCCATTGCTGAACAATATCCTAACTAATAAAACTACAAACACATTGATTGAGAAAACCCAAACAAAATGTCTATGAATATGCCAATGCTATTGTGACTGCAAGAAATTATTTTCTCCCAAACCACACATTTTATCACATCCCGGCATTTACTATGTTGAAAAACTTCAGAACTTATGCCTTTGAACCAGCTCTGTGAATTGCAATGTCAACAACTTGAAACTTTCGATAATTCTTTTTTATTTTTTATTTCTTTTGTTATAGAAAATTTACATAAGTTCTTGAGTTTGGATAATTCTTGAGTTTGGAAGTGACATAAGATTTGCCAATCTGCACAAAGATAAAAAAAATTAAGATAAGTGTTAGCGTCCAAATCGGTTAATGATAATATGCTCTCAAGTTGGAAACGAAAAACAAGTCAATCATAGAAGTAATTAGCATGGGGACAGCAGGGTATCTAGATTCAATCCATCAAAATTAAAAATGAGTATTATAAAATTTGAAGAAATTGGGGTGTATAGAAATATAATGTGTGTTTTGAGAATGTAGGGTGTGAGGGTATTATTGAGAGGTAGTGGGGTGTATAAAGATAATTTTTAATTGAAAAAGTAAATATGGGGTGTATTAAGTATGTGAGATTTATTCAACAATTTGTGGGGTGTTAATATAATAAGCCTTTTTTTTTTTTATATATAAAATGGGGACAAATGGTGCCGAACCAAGATTATCCACTCTTTCCGGACTTGGAGAAGGTTAGCTGGGAATTACACCTTATCTATGGTCACGATCAAACAAATTCACAGCTCAAAATATTGAACCTATAATCTCTCAAGAAACAATGCATTTGAGATTATATAATTTCATATGATTAGGGAAGTCGAGTCAGCAACTTAATAAGAAAATGAAATTAAGAGCGGGTGAATATGGAATTGGAATGAAATGATTGATGGTAATCGTATTTATTTGGTTTATTAGGCGCATAATAAATACTATCATGGTTTGGTAATAAAAGTTGATATTATTCTTTCGTTTGGTCTGCGTTTGGTCAGATTGAGACGTGTTGCCAAAGCCTTTTGACACACAACCTTACAAGAATTTCTAACCCCAAAATTAGCCAAAACCCAATCTCCGATTATGAACCATTACGGGGTGGTTGAGTGGTTGGGACGAATTTTAGGCCCATATTTCATACGGCACGTTTTGAATTCGATTTTTGGCGTTGGTGAATCATACAATGATGGTCAAAGAGATGCTAAGATGTTTTTGTGAGTCTTCCTGACCTTCGAAATGATGGAATATTGCAGTCAAGCCATCAACTGTTCTCCTTTATTAATTTGTTTTTATTAAAAAAAATGTCTGATTCTGGAAAAATTATGGTGGAGACTTTCCGATCATGTGACAGTTAAAATAACAAGTTCGCTCTTATACTAATAAATCTCAACTATAAATTAAAACTTATAAAACGCTGTTAATTTTAATTGGATATTGTCTATCACTCAACCTGTCACCTGACATAAAAACTTCTACAAAAGTTTTTAACATTTTCTAACCCCTAAAGGCAACTTAATATGTAATTTGGGGAAAGTTGCAGTGGCAATTTTTCTATTACGTAACAATTTGAATGACAACCATCCTTCATGTACTACAAAATCCTAATTATAAATGAGAAATTTATAACGCACAACAAATTTTAATTTAATATTGTAAATTTACTTTTTACATGATACGAAAGTTTCTACAAAAGCGCACGTATCATAATTATAAAAAAATCCATAACTCAAGACAAATTTTAAATGAATAACGTCCGTCACTCAAACAATTTATCACGTGATCGATATCGCTTATGGAAGTTTTTCTCGTAGTACTCATGGTGGTAATTATGCCATTTTATTTCAACCTTAGTTGGGGCAATTCAGTTCATCTTCAACCTGTCAATTTGGTACCCTAATATTCATACGAATTAATAAAGTAATGTCCTAACTTTGATTAATATTAATACTAATTACTAAAATAATGTCCTAACTTTGAATTTCAATGCCATAATCTTAATGAGTTGGTTTTGTCAGCTTGGCATGTGGAACTTTAAGTCTTTAACCATAATTGAAAGACGACTTTCAAACCTCTTGTATAAAATGACTTTAATCCATTGGTTTACTGCTGCAACCTAGATTTATATATACATATAAAAATATATATACGGGATAGATCCTTGACATCATTTTTTTTACACAACTTCTTATACACGTTTTGGTGGGGCCCACTCTGTAATGTATTTAATGATCCAAACTATCTATTTTTAAAACATCATTCATAGATCATCTTTGCAAATTAGACAAATCCAAAACTATGAAAACATTCATTTGTAGTGAAAAAAATAGACAAATATGGTTCTACAAAGAAACACTAAACCCTTAATTCAACGATTATATGGTGATAAACGGTTCGAATCGTTGAAATACATTATGAAGTGAGCCCCACAATAATATGTGTCAAAAGTTGAAATACAACGAATTTTTATATACATATAATCCCTTAGTGTTTTGATCATGAGGGGTTAATTAACTTTAAAGCAAGGTTGTTGCAGAGGGACCAATATTAATTAATTAGCACATTCTTGGCATCACTTAGGTAAATTGGCAAAACATGAACCTTAAAAAAACATAGCTAAGTATTAAGGAAAAACATTACGCAAGTGCCCAAGTGAGAAAATCAGAATCAAATCCACCAAATAAATAAAAATATACATGGATTGTAAATCTCCCAACCTCCTAACTAAAACCCTAAAACAAACAAGACCAAGAATTTAAAATTAGTCCCAATTTGAAAAAATCCCAAAAGAAAAATTAGGGTTTTAGTGGGAAAGACTCTCCAAAAATTTGAAGACTTTGCAGCTGATAAATATGCTATTTTTGTGGTTGATTGGTTTGAAAGATGGATGAAATAATATGTAGCAACTTTAGCACGTTCATCTTGGACCACTTTGTAACACTCACTTCATGAGCATGACATTTCAAAACAAGTGGAAGTAATGGGGAGGTTGGCAACTCTCAACTGGTAGAAAATTATGTGATAGTGGGTTTATTGCATTGTAGGTAGAATTCCATTATACCAACTAGAGTTTTGGAAGTCTTGTTTACGCGGAATAATTTGTCTGAAACGGAATGTATACCCTCTTTTTTTGTCGCACTTGTGGAGAGTGACGTAGATAATAGCGTTTGCACCCTGTAGTAGGTGAGATTTTCGTTCTTGTGTCGGAATTTAAGGATGTATACAGCCTCTTGTGTGACAACTTATATAACACGTGAGGAGAGCAATAGAGGAGAGACAAATAGAAGGGATACACCCGCGGGTGAGTTTTCTCTCGTATTTGCGTCATTGCGTCGGTATCAAAGAGAGCCATGTGCTTTTCTCTTATACTTTTTGAAAAAGGTAGGAAGTCTAGTAGATAGGTGCAGATTATGGCACAAATTGTTCGAATCAATTGTTGATGAATGATGATTGAGGACCATCTTGCAAGCTTCAATTGTGGTAGCAACAGAAAATGATTACTCAAATGTGCCAAAAATATTGATTGAAACAACAACAGCAACAACCAATTCCCATCATTGATAATTAAGCCTTCCTTCTTTTTCAAGCCAAACCTTGTGGCAAAATTTGAGTGCTTCAACCGGAAGGGAAGAAAATTAGGTACGCCCGAAGGCCGAAGAACCGAAAACAAGAGCAAAAGAAACCGATACGAAGCAATACAAATCTCAAATTCCAGTACCCGTTTCAGAATTTTGTCTACTACAAATGAACTGCAAAAAGAATTCCATTGCAAGGAAGAAAAACGCGAAAAAAACGAATGCAAAAGGAGACAACACAGACTCTAAAAACCTTAAGGACCTACTCGCCATCATCATTGTCACTAACATCTAAGAGTCTACCATTAAACTTGCATCTCTCTAACCCTTCATCCTTTTTTTTTTTTCCAGGTCTCTCCTTCTACTTAGCTAAATATATGGTCATCTATATTGGCTCCTTACCCCCCATTTTGCATCCCTGTACAAAAAACCAATGAACAAAGAAATGAAATGACGCTACGGCAAATAACATAAACTGATGACAGAGAGAACGAAAAGCTGTGGACTGTGGAGTGTTCCGACCAGGGAACGTTGTACTCTACTGCATCCTCCTCCCCCTCACATGTAATCCAGCGAAATGCTGTGGTTAGTATTGGGGATGAGCTCTGGAGTTTCGGTCATTGCTGTTGTGGTCTCTCCAAAGGGAACCACTTCCCCGCCTTTGTTTCTCATCTCGATAACCTTCTTGTGGGAATTGGAGTGCAAGGCCGGAACAAAGGTGGGACTGGCAGCGGGCCGGTACTCAGGGAAGAGACGGCCTGACTTGTAGCGGACGCCACAGGCATTGCATAGGGTTTTCGGCCCCATTGGGCCTGCCCTCCACTGGGGTGTCTTGGTGATCTCACAATGCAAGCATTTCCTCACTGCTCCCTGAGTAGTGCCGGAGCTTTGATTTCCCTCCGCGGGAGCCTGGGGAAGCGTCAACTTGATCTTCTTTTTCTTCTTCTGCTCCCCGGAAGCTTGCCTTGGTATCTTGATCACAGGACGGGACTCTGCGAAATTCTCAGAATCCGAATGGACCTTCGGAGGGAGCAACTGCTGATGCTGAAGGGCCTCTGCCTCGGTAACAGAGGAAGCAGGGGAAATGAGTTGAATTGCGGAACGAGGGTTGAATGTGGCCGGGCGGGGGCGCTTGCTGCGAGCGCGTCCACGCTTGCCAGGGACCACCGCGCCAGGGCTTTGCGGCACATTCTTCTCGACGGAGCAAGAGCTGCTGCTGTCGAGGACGGAAATCGGGCTGGAGGTCTGGAACTGCTGGTGGGACGGTTCCCTGTTGATGAAGGAGATGTCCGGTTTGTTGATTGTGAGGCTTCCTCCAGAGAAGGAATCCTCACAGAAGTTTGACAGCCATTCCAATTGAACAATGTCTTCAATCTGTCAAACAAATACACAAACAAAATTAAAGCTTCTAAATTTTAATTAATTCAAATAATTTTGATCAACAAAAACCCAACAGAAATTGTGCTTTTTGACAATCGGAGGTACTCATCACATCACATGTCCCATATTTCACCATGCAATCACAAGTTGTTTTTACTGTTCATAAACCCTCCACCGACATACGAAACGGTGTAGTTTAGGTGTTTAATTGACCGAAATACCCTCGTACCGGAGGGAACACAATTTTATCTTCTAAGAATACCCACCACATGATCGGCACATGCGGCAACCCAGAGGGCCCTGCCCACCTTTACGGCTGGACTTGCCAGCCTGGCACGTCAACTTCTAATTTACTCAATTAAATAATAATAAAAAATCACGATTATTTTTTTTGAAAAATAAAACCTGTCCTAATTTCAACGTATGACGTCACCCTCACATTCAATTCACAGAAATCCCGTGAAACCGACACTGATAGATGCCACGCAAGCAACGAGAGAGAAAACGGGGAGAAGAGGGAGAGTGTGACTCACCGGAACGTCGAGCTCGGCGGAGAGGTCGGAGGCGGAGTTGCAGGAGAAGACGGCGTCGTTGGGAGGCTGGAGCGAGCCGGAATGGCCGGGCCAGAGGGAGGAGGAGTTGAAGGCGGCGTCGCAGTTGGGGGCGGGGCCTAGGGCGGACTCGACGTCGTCGGTTGGGAAATCGAGGAGGTCGTCGATGGTGTCGAAGAGGCTCCCGCAGTCTATATCGTCGATATAGTTCGGTACGATCATTTTCTCCGTCGCAAATTGTCCTGAGGAAAACACGAAAAGCCAGAAAATATAATCAGCCACGGAATGACCTTCTGAGTTTTTTCAAATTTAAATCTTCATGGCAATGTGGCGGCGCATTTTAGCAGGGGTGCGTAATTAAACGTAAAGGTTAAAGGTTCATACGGTTCGACTTTACTTGTATTTCACACTGACGAAGAAAAAAGAGGGAGGAAAAAAAGTAAAAAAAAAATTAAAGAAAATAAAAGAAAATAAAAGTAAAAGGGGCCGAAAATTAAGGTGAATTTAGAGCTTTCAGTAAAGTGCAACCAACACATGGCGTAAGGTGGCGCCAGCTGGTACCAACTCCAACTCCGAATTTTCCACCTTTTTTCTTTTCCTTTTTTGGAAAATAATAAACACGGAGAAGATAAGGAATTTTCGGTAGAAAGTTTGAGAAAAATCGGGTGGAAGAAGTTGAATTTGAAGCGAATTCTGAGAATTTCCAGGAAATTGAGAATTTAAAATTTGAAAAACCAGTTCACGTTTTTGAGCTTCCAAATGCGTTGAATTTCTGAAGCGAATGCGAACGAAAACGAACGAAATTCAAAGTTTTCGAACTGAAATTCAGTAAAAGGAGGAGAAATACGTAAGAACTGGAGGGAATTGTGCGTTTTCCCTCGTTTTCCGAGCAACCAAACAGAAAACAGCCATTGCCGACGGTTCAGAAACTGGAGAGAAAATTACAGAGGGAGTGGAGAAATGCAGAGCCAAACCTGTGAACTTGTTTTGGTTTCGAACTCTAACTTCACTCTCCCGCCTAAACAAACCCGTAAGAAGACGAAGAAGAAGAAAGAATCCCCAAAATTTGCAGAGCCACAAAAACCTCCTACTGCTTCTGCTGGTGCTACTAAAACTACCAAAACCCTATTCCTTCTCAGTTATAAGGAGGAGTGAGATATAGAGGAGAGGGAGAGAGAGAGAGAGAGAGAGAGAGAGGAGGAGAGAGAAAGAGAGAGGGAATTTAAGAGAGAGAGAGAGGGGAATGGGGAAGGCTAAAAAGGAAGGAGGAGGAAGAGAGTGAAGCTGTGGGTAATACGGTAGGTGAGCTTCCTCCTTCATTGCTAGCTGTCTCCTGCTATCGTCACCTTCAAGCCACACCCTTTCCCTCCCCCCACGGGTCCCACGCACCCCACCGCTCTCTCCCCCTTACACCTTTTCTTTTTTTCTGTGAATTTATTTAAATTTCGACACGGATTTTCACCGCGAAAATAAAAATTAAACAGAGAAAAATAATAATTGAAAAAAATAAAATGGAGGTGGGGTTTTGGGTTTTAGGTTTTGTGTGTATCCGCTTACTTTTTCGCTTTGAGTTGTCTATCTCTGGAACTTCTGCTTTTCTTCTTCCTCCTTCCGTGCTTTGCGTGTGAAGAGACTGAGACAAGAGATTACTTATAGAAGCCTCCTCTCAGCTTTAACCGCCGTTCTTTCTAACTTTCTCCCTCCCTCTCTTTTACCTCTTGCTTTTCATCTTTTCGGGTTACTTTAGAACGTCACAGTAGCGTTATTTCAAACTAAAACTTATATTTATATAATAAGTTTAAATAAATACATGGAAATTTTTAATTGGATAAGATTGTGTCACAGTGACGTAATTTTATGCTAATAACAGTTAATTATGTCATTATTTTGTATATGTGGCGATATTTAATTGGTTTAAAGTGTTATCATTGATTACGCGTCGTAAAATTTCTTTGGCCCTAAGTTTTCTATCAACCTAGGGCTCCGTTGTTCTTTTCTTACAAGGCGTTTTAGCGCATCATACCATTTTATTTACTCTTCGTTACGCGGTTACGTTGCCAAAATTACTACCCGCTCAACGTGGAAACGTAATTAAATTTTTAAACGCGTAGGGCATTTTTGGCATTACAAGATTTCTTTATTTTCTTTTTCTGTTTCCTGTTTTTCGTTTTTTTTTTCAATGCCATAAATGGTTTGTTATTATCTGTTGTTTTTTTCTGGATTTACCTTCTATGTTTTTGCCTAGGTCAAATTGCCATTAGGTCAAGTTTGGTAAATTAATCAAATTGGTTCATTCGTTCCACACTTGTCTATTAACACAATTAAGAGGATATGATTTGGGTTTTCACTATTTGTTAGGTTTATAAGTACATACGTCTTGATTTAGTAATAGGTTGCAAAACGGATATGCACTCAAAGATATAGTGACAATATCAGTGAAATTAGGTGTAATTAGAGATTCGTGAGTTTACAAAAGCATGCTAGATGGTTTACAAAGTAAAAAGATTATTACATATCTCGTCGCAGCGCAAGTGACACACATGTATAACACATGGTAACTTAATTTAGATACTGAATACAAGCAAACAAATTAAGAGAATTACAATTCGTAAAGTTTATACTTGAAACCTAATGAAAACTGAATGCCACTTAAATAAATAAATGTGGGTCAATCGAACCTTGAGTGGAGATTAATCCCTCCATCCGGGTGTGGGGACACTTCATGGCATTTACCAAAAAAATAAATAAACAAAAATGGAAAAGGATCCGGCGAGGATCATTTTCCTAGGGATTCCGCAATTGTGTCCGTTTATTGTACATCGTGCGGTCATAAATCATTTAAAATTTAAAATTCAAATATAAATAGTACCTAACGAAAATTGACCACACAATGTACAATAAACGAATACGATTGTGGGATCCCTAGGAAAAAGATCAAGTGAGAATCCTTTTCTTCTTAAAGTCCCATATCGGTGGGTTCAAAGAAGTCCAATGGGTTTAAATAGGATTATCCTACTCTAACTAACACCAAGACCTTTTGTGGGAAAACCTCATACCTGACGAATTGGGCAGGTGGTAAAGTTGGAGATAGTATCAGTGTCGTTAGAGTGGGACGGGCCCGGCGATCTAAAAATCCAACATGGTATAAGAGCCCACGGTTTCGAGCCCGTGCAAGCTAATGAGCTTGTGTGCAAGCCAACGAGTTTGTCACTCATAAGGAAACAAGTCTAAACTCTTAATATAGAGACGACCACTGAGTTTCATTGAAAACAAGTGGGCCCAACATGAGCCGACCTCTGAGTTTCAATTACCGATGTGTGGATCTCCACATATGAACCACTAAAGGAGGTTACACGTGAGGGGGGGTGTTAAAGTCCCACATCGATGGGTTCAAAGAAATCTAATGGGTTTAAATAGGATTATCCTACTCTAACTAATACTAAGGCATTTTGTGGTAAAACTCCACACCTGACGAATTGGGCAAGTGATAAAGTTGGAAATAATATCGGTGTCGTAAGAGTTGGGCGGGCCCAGCGAACTAAAAATCCAACATTTCCTACAAAAATAGGTCTCCTGCTCCATGTAGGACCCCACAAATTTATATGAAGCAAAATATTGAAAATTGTTGTTTATGCCTTATAATGTGTCAAATTCCACCCTTTTCTTTTCACTGAATTGTTTGTTAATTATGTCACTAACGAGTGAGTGTGATTGATAATCTCACACCATCCAAATTTCATCATATGATTCAAATCGACCGTTCATGTGTCACTGTGGCATAATTTCTGATATTATTAACCATTGTTCGAAATTGAAAATGTTGCATACGTACAACCAGAAAGAAACAATATATACAAATACTTGGTGCAGTGCAGCGTCAGTAATTTAGGGTTTCACTTAGTTGACACTCCTCTTTTGGTAGAACAAAAAGTGAACGATTAGTTTTTGTGTTTTCAATTTTGACACCACATAGCTTTAGGGTTAGGTCCACGCGGTTGAAAATCTTTCGTTGAAGAAAGTCGTGTTATGATCAGTTGTTTCCGCACATATCTGATTGCCAAACTTACATTTAATCTTAACGTAAGAAATTTGCTACATGTACAACGTAATTCAGATTGTTAATTATTGTAAAACTTACATTTGATCCATCTTCTAAAATTGTCAGCATGCATAAACCATTGACGTTAACAAAATTCATGATAAAGTCTAAATGGTCACACACTGGTAAAATGCCTAAATGGCAATACAAGATGGACTTTGTGTGAAGTGGGTAATCACCAACTGTTATTTCTAACTTAGTTCACGGGGTAGCTTAATATCCTATTACTTTAGGATGATATAGAGCATGTTTGAACGTACTTTTATAATGGGTGAAAGAGCTTTTAGAAAAATGGTTTTTGAAACTAATTATTGGTAAATATACAAGTGGATTCTGAAAAAATACTTGAAGTGCTTTCTGCAAGAGGCTTACAAAAAGAACTCTAAGTGCTTTGGAATACAAAACATTTTCTCTAAAATCACTTTCATCATTTTAAAAACGCTCAAATTAAATATATATATATATATATATATATATATATGTATGCATATTCTCTCCAATCTCCACTACCTAATGCCATTGGGATTTTTGGTCAAATCAGAGTACAAGCAAAAGAAAGAAAAAAAAAACCATAGTGCACCTCCACCAGTATGCTTAATTAAATTTCGAAAAGCCTTTACCAAGCTAATTAGACCAGCAAATCACATATATTAACTTTGGAATTAATTAAAAAATTAAAAATTAAAAATTTGAGGAAAAAAAAAAGGTTAATAAAAGTGACTCCGCAACCGAAGCATGTTTCATTTGGGACTCATGGCAATGATGGGCTTCACTCATATTATCGTCTTTCTTTCACTCTCTTTTTAACTTTGACTTGATCTCTACTCTTTGCATCGATCCCTTCTAAAATACTCCGTCTCAGAAAATTCAGTAGGGAAAAGGTGGTCGTGATTCGGTCTAAAATTAAACATTTTGTTTTAATTAAGAACAAATTAAATTAAATTAAAAGAAGAAAGGTCTTAGTGTTCTGTGAAAACCCTTTTCCTTTACGTTTAACTTGGATTTCACTCTTTGTATCACTTCCTTCTGAAAGACTTACCTTGTACAAAAAGTGAATTTGGGTAAAAATCCATATTGACTTTTAGCCTGTCATGGTTTAGGCGTCTTGCAACTTGAACACGGAGTGGACCGTTGGAAATAGACGTAACATTCCAGTAATGCTACTTAGACGGTCAAAACTGAGTAAATTTGACGTCACTCTTTCTATTAGAAATAGGGTATACCATTGTATTGAAAACTAATCTGAATCAGATAGTACATTAGACAATATGATCAGCTCTGCCTGTGCGCTTAAATAATGTTATTCGAAGAAAAGTACTGAGATCAAATCAACTAAATAAAAGAAACCCCATTGGCTAATCTTGAAATTGATAAAATCTAAAAACATAATCTTTGAAAGCTTTTGGGGGCTTTTTATTTCCTCATTTATAATATGCACCCCAACATGACCTTTCTCAATTAATGTTTAAACAATATTGCAAGGACGTCCAAGGACAACAATTTTTTTTTTTTTGAACAAACGATAGTATCTATACTAAAAGGATGGAGGAGTGAGCTAAACCTCACACTAACCTAAGACTTCTCATTTAAAAGTGGAAATGAATGCCACTACTGTAGTACTAAATCGCCAAGGACAACCACTTTAGTATATAAACAAACCAAAGAAACCGATAATGGACACATTATTTCTTCCCTTCAAAGATAAGGAAGCTATTGATTTTGTGGTGCCATTATTTACATATATATGTGTGTGTATGTATTGATACATACGTGTGCGAATCGTATTAAAAGACAACTTTTCTTAAAAAAAAATTATAAAATTACATACAATAATATAAATATTTAGAAACCACCGAAACCCTAAGACTGTAGCACCGACGAAATGCATAAAGGCAACGTGCATGGAAATGGGCACACATGAGATGAGACCCAGTGCGCTCCATTAATTACGGCTCGGATTGGATGGCCATTTTACCGGCACGACGTCGCGTTGATCAACACTGTGAAAGTAACATCTCCTACGACGTCCCGAAATTAGTGATCGATCGAGAGAACACCAAATTTAATCACACTACGATCATGTGTCGTTGTCACGATTTAACCTAAATTAATATTAAATAGCCATATAATACGAAATTAATAAGATTAAAAGCAAATCACAATCGGGCTAGTTGCTCTCTGGAATCGACAATCTGTCGGTAAGAA